ATTCTCTTCTTACTCTTTGAGTTCTATGACGACCAGCTCCTGGCCTACACGATGCTCTCCTGGACTCAACTCACAAGTCAAGTCACCTTCCCATCCACCCCCCTTGGCTTCGCCCCCCTCCCTCCCCTCAGATCATGATTGGCATTCTCTTCTTCCTCTTTGAGTTCTACGACGACCAGCTCAGCTGCCTTTGAGACATCTCAAGCACTCCCTTTCTTCCCTCCTCCTCTCGCCATTCCTTCTGCTCCACTCCCCCCCAGATCATGATCGGTATTCTCTTCTTCCTGTTTGAGTTCTACGACGACCAGCTCCTGGCCTTCATGGTTCTCACACTCGTGTGGCTCTGCGAAATCTTCACGCTCATCAGGTAGGCAGTGGGTGGGGTGGGGGTAGGGTAGTGACGACAGTAACGCCTTTATGCCTAGTTTTTGGATCCCATTTTGATGTTACCAGTTCTTGCTTCTGCTCTAGCATGCTTCCAGACAGCATGTGCCAGCCTTGGCCAGCACTGCTAAAAGCTGAAACTCGCCTTGGCCAAATCTTTCTGAACCTGGCCTTGGCCAAATCTTTCTGAGCCTGAGCTTCTGAACCTGCTGGTCTTTGCACCTAACCTTCTGCGCTTGCTCTGCTCATTGTTCCCACTCTGCACCTGCTCCTCTTTACCCGTGCCTGCCTGCCTGTTTCCCTGCAGCTGCCGCTCCCCCTTGTCGCGGCGTTTCTTCCCCAAGTTCTTCTTCCTCTTCTTCCTCCTCTTCCACGTCTACTTCTTCACATTCACCTACGGTGCGCCATACCTGCCCTGCCCTGCCCCATTTGAGGCGTCTCAAAAAGTCGCTGTTTCTTCCCCAAGTTCTTCTTTCTTCCTCTTCTTCCTCCTCTTCCACGTCTACTTCTTCACATTCACCTACGGTGCGTGTCATACCTGCCCTTCCCCCACCCACTTCTTTCTTCTTCTGACGGCCTAAGAAATCAGCAACGATACAACATCCCCAATCCCCCTTTCCTATCCCCAGATCCACCCCTTCTTGACTTCCGGACCACCTCCCCCTTTTCTTCCCCAAGTCACCTTTCTTCCTCCGCCCTCCGTTTCTTTTGGTTTGCGGCCTTCCTCAACCACAATGCCATCCTCCTCTCCTGGTTTAACTCAAAAGTCTCTTTGTTGCAGTCGGCTAAAAAGTCACCCCATTGACGGCCATTCATAATGCCCCTCTGCCTGTCCGCTTCCCCGGTCTCTGTCCCCCCATCCCTGCAGGGTTCTCCTATCTGGCCTTTGCCACAGCAGCGGCCTTTCTCAACCACATTGCCATCTTCCTCTGGATTCGACTCAAAAGTCACCACCTCGTTGGTCTCAACTCTAGGTCCCTTTTCGTCCCCTTCCCACTACTGGTCTCCGCCCCCCTGTCCCCCCAGGGTTCTCCTATCTGGCCTTTGCCACAGCAGCGGCCTTCCTCAACCACATTGCCATCTTCCTCTGGAACCGATGCGAGGTGCGTGGGTGCAGCGTGGTGATGTGGGGTGCAGTGCGGTGACGCAAGGTGGGTGGGTATGAAGTGAGGTGGATGGGTGCAGGCGTGGGCATGTGAGGCAGGATGGAGAAAGGAGTGTATCACCTAGCATATTCCCCAGCATGCCCCCTCAGCATGCCCCCTCAGCATGCCCCCTCAGCATGCCACACAGCATGCTCCCCAGCATGCCTTTAAGTATAGCGGCTATACTATAGCCTGCCATATAACCGTAAGCCGAGTCATGTACTTGGTTTGCGCCACTTGCGCTCTCCTCTCCCCTGCTTCCCCACCCCGTACCTTCCTTTCTCCCTTCCCGCCTTCCCGCGCTTCCCCCTTCCGTCTCCCTTCCAACCTCACCCGAATCGTCTCCCCTCCCTCATGCATCAAGCAGAGCGAGCAGCAGGGTTTGCCACAGTGCGCCGTCTCACCCTCCTTTCTCTCTTTTCCCTTCCTTCTCCTGTCTCCTTTCCCTCATCCGTCTTCCGTCTTCCTCCTTCCCTCTTCCCCCCAACCCCACATGCACTTAACAGAGCGAGCAGCAAGAGCTGCCGCAGCACGCCCTGCAGCAACAAATTGGAGGAGGAGGAGGAACAGGAGGAGGAGCAGGGGGAGGAGCAGGGGGAGGAGGGAGGGCAGGCAGGCAAAGGCCCCCGCCTTTTGCTGCTGATGCTACTGCCACTGGGGGCAGTGGCAGTGGGGGCCGTGGGGGCAGTGGGGGCAGGGGGGGCAGTGGCAGCAACAGCAGCGGTGGTGGCGGCAGCGGTGGTGGCGGCAGTGGTGGTGGTGGTGGGGGGAGAAGTGGTGGTGGTGGCAACAGCAGCACAGGTGCTGGTGGGAGTGGTAACAGCAGTAGTTGCAATTGTGGTGGCCTTGCCACTGGCAATGTCAACGGCTGTTGCAGTATCAACGGTAGCAGCAGTAGCAGTAGCAGTGGCAGTAGCAGTGGCAGTGGCAGTGGCAGTGGCAGTGGCAGTGGCACGAGCAGTAGCAGGGGCAACAGTTGTGGTCGAGGCAGCGGCAGCGACAGTGGTAGCAGCAGTGGCAGCAGCAACAACAGTAGCAACAACATCAGTGGGCGCGAGTGTGGGGTTTTGGCTGGTGGAAATAGCGAAAAGGGTCAGGCACCTTTTGTAACCTCACACCAGCAGTCAGAGCAGCAGCAAATGCGAAGAGAGCAGCATGAGGAGCAGAGTGGGGCAATTCCGCGACAACACATACACAGCCCGTCATGCCAACACTCTTCCAACCAACACTCTTGCTGCCATCACTCTTCTTACCGACACTCTTCCTTTCACCCCGCCAACCACCATATAAACGTGCACCCTTCGAGAGCAGGACCTTCTAACCAGCACCATCCAAGTCAATACCCTTCCACTCATCCCCTTCCACCTCACACAGGCTTCCTGCACTCCTTGTCATGCCCGCCCCCCTCCACTTGTCTCAAAGATGAAGAAAAAGAGCACGTTTCCTGTTTCTCGTCCCCCCTCGCTGCTTCTCCCTGCCGCTCCGCTCTTTGCTACCGTAACCCCTGCACCAATCCACAATCCACAAGCTATAATCCACAATCTCTACTGCTCAATGATCCCTATCCGCTCCTTGATCCCCTTTTCTGCTGCAATCCTCCTGTTTGCTGGTCTAGGGATTTGCAAGACAGGGTTATAGGCAACAGATGTTGCAGCAGCAATAACAGCAACAGCAGAAGCACCAGCAGTAACAGCACCAGCAGAAGCACCAGCAGTAACAGCACCAGCAGAAGCACCAGCAGTATCAGCAGGAGTAGCAGCATTAGCAACAGCAGCAGCACCACCACCCACAGCATCTACAACAGCAGCAGCAGCAGCAGCAGCGACAATTCTGTTGTTTCAACTCTGCCACCTCCTTCCCGGTTCCCTCATGCCTGTACCCCTGCACCCATCATCTCTTGCCCATGCCTGGTAATCCAGTTACCACCCTCGTTACCTTCCCCTGCCTGTCCTTCCCGCCTCGCTCTTTCGCCTGGAGCATCACCATTAGCTGCAGCAGCAGGATTGTCAGAACCAGCAGCAGCACCACCACCACGACAATCACCACCACCAGTAGCCGCAGATGCAGGAGCAGCAGCAGCATTGTGCTCTGAGTCTTCCGTCCCTCCTCTCATCCAATCCCCTGCATCCAGGAGAATGTTCTCCTCCATATTCTCAACACCCAATGCTTCTTCTGAGGCCACAGCTCTTGCTGATGCTGGTGCAGCAGCTGCTGCTCGTGCTGCTCCTCCTGCTGCTGCTGCTGCTGCTGCTACTGATGCTGATGCTGATTTTGCTGTTAATGTTAGTGTGGATCCCAAAACTGCCTGTTGGAAAGGTGGGTCCCGCACATGGGAGGGTGAGGGTGAGGGGTTGTTTGAGCTTCAGTCTAGTGCAAGGGGATACGGAGGGGTGTGGGGAGGTGGGGGCTTGTGGGACGACCAGGAGGAGCAGTGGGATTGTGCTGATGCGGTGGGGAGGAGTGCTGATGGTGCAGATGGGGGGTCTGGTTGGGACCGTGAGCAGGGGGGTGGGGGCGAAAGCTGTGATAGTTATGATAGTGGTGAGGAGGGAGACGAGGAGGAAGAGGAGGAGGAGGGGGAGGAGGAGGATGATGCTGGCATGAGTGATGGTGGTGGGGAGTTTAGTAGTGTTGCTGCTGATGGTGGTATGGGCTGTGATGGTAGCAGCATTGTCGCCGCAACTGCACCTGCTGCTGTTGCTGCTGCGGCTGTTGCTGCCTCTGCAGATGCAACTGGTGCTGATGATGGTGGTGATGGTTCGAGCAGCAGGCAGGATCGTAGAAAGCATTGCACTCCTCTCACGGCCTTACATCACCCTGCACATACACAAGAGCTTCCCCTAACGCAACAGCGCACCAGAAAAAACACCGACCAGCAGCTAAGTCTCCGAATCACAACTGCTTTTATGCCAGTTTATGCGAGGCACCGGAGGGGGGAAACCGGAGAGAGTACGGGTGAGAGGATTCTTGACGTGTGTAAAAAACCGTTTCATCACAAGAGGGGAGCGGGTGGGTGTGTGGGTGAGGTCATCAGGCAAAGAGTTGTCTCGCTTCCTGAGCTACACGCGTTGCGATCGCCAGCGTCTCAAAGCTCGCTGACGACCATGCTCATCGACTGATCAATCAATTGTTGGGTTGTTTGGTTGGCGGCTAGTCTGCTGGATGACGGACAGATTGCAAATTCAGTCTGGAAAGGGCGGGTGGGTGGGGGGATTTTCTTAAGAAGCTGTGCTTGTATGAAGGAGAGGCTGCCGTTTCCTCCTTACTGTTACCGTATTGCATTGTCGGTTAATGCATGCAGTGAGTGAAAGACCACGGCCCACGACAGGTCGGGACTCGGTACGTGGGTTGGGTCAGTTGCGCGTGCTTGTGCGGTATTGTGGGCATGGCAACAGGATCTCGTCTCATCTTAGCACATACATATACACCACACAGCAATTCCAATGGTCTGCTCTGTGTGATGACGCTTGTTAACCAACATGGCACCACACAGCACTCCTAATTTCATCTGGATACAAGCAACACAATGTACATAAGAATGCATATGGCACAGTACTATAATCGTAATGCAGAATAAGCAGACGCTAGAAGCTTGCAGTGTCAGCAGCTGTAACCACCAGCCCACCCACCCACGGCCCCTTGGTCTTCCTTCCTCCTACCCACAGGTCAGAGGAGTCACCTACTAATATTCAAGGTCTCTTGAGTTGAGCCCCATCCTCCACCTCCATCCACCAAGCTGACTTTAGAGTCGACTCAAAGGTCTCTTGAGCCCCGTGCTCCACCTTCAGCCACCACGTACCCGTATGTGTACCACACATTTTTGTGCTGATGTGTGCATTTCCCTTTGTGCGGCCCAGCCCACACAGGCAGCGCCAGAAGATTCAGTTCACTGGCGCTAAATTAAAAACATCACTTCAGAGGCAGCCGGGTTGGCCAGGTATTCAGTCTGATCCAGTCCCGGCCAGAAATTCAGGAATAAACAAGAAACAGCAAAACGATCCTAAGAAAAGAAGCAAACTGCAAATCTACAACACACAAGCTGCTCCGTTTTTTACATCAGCTTGTGTCAGTGGTAGCCTTGTGTGCTGTTAGCCTGAATCATGACCTGCATACGGCTTGCCCCTGCACTCCAGTAGTGAGTCCTTTCCCAACAGAGAGAACGGGGAGGGTATGGTAGAGTACAGTAGGGTAGAATGGGGTGCTGCCTTGCGACTTGCGAGTGTGTATCTGTGACAGGAACGAGAGCGAGGCGCCTTGAACCACGCATGGTGAACAGAACAGTCGACGGTGAGCAGCAGGTCAACAACAGGTCACTCAGTATTGGACGGCCATGAGTCCACTTGAACGGTGCGAATGGGGGTGAATTCGCCCTCTCCGCCGTACCGACTCGGCAGCTGCTTCCTTGGAATGGCTGCCTGTAGGATCTCATCGATGGCCCTGTCCTCCAGGAACCGGAACTGGAGGGGGGAAAAGGGCAGAGGGCGGCGGAAATTTATGAGAGGATGAGACCTCAAAAAACAATCTCACTCGGTATTGGACGGCAACGTGTCCACTTGCACGGTGGGGATCGGATTGAACTCGCCCTCTCCGCCATACCGGCTCGGCAGCTGCTTCCTTGGGATAGCTGCCTGTAAGGTCTCCTCGATGGCCCTGTCCTCCAGGAATCGGAACTGGAGGGGGGAAGAGGGTAGGGGAGACAGGGGGAGATGAGGGGACTGGCTGCCTGTAAGGTCTCCTCTATCGCCCTGTCCTCCAGGAATCGGAAGCAGGGTCGATGAAGGGCGAGACGAGCTTCCAGAGAGTCCATGCCCCCCTGTCCAGGGCAAACCTAGCAACAGCATCTGCTGCTAGCGAACCTGTCTCGGCGAGCACATGCACGCAGACAGGCATGTGCGGGCATGTGGGAACACACCACCCTCTTGGTGAATCGTATGTTTTTTTAAGATTCTCAAAAGGGATTTATTTTTTTAGAATTATCAAAAGGGTACGGTTATCTAGAATTCTCATAAGGCATGTGCGGGCATGTGGGAGCGCACCTTCTTCTTGGTGATGGGGTCGATGAAGGGCGAGACGAGCTTCCAGAGCGTCCAGAAGATGGTGGGTACGTGGATGAGGAAGAGACAGATGAGTCGCTCGGGATACTGGTTCTGCCCGCTCACAGAGGGAGAGACGCGCACAGAGGGAGAGACGCGCACAGAGGGAGAGACGCGCACAGAGGGAGAGACGCGCACAGAGGGAGAGACGCGCACAGAGGGAGAGACGCGCACAGAGAGACGCGCACAGAGAGACGCGCACGGAAAGACAGAGATACGGAGATACACACGTAAGGAGGGGGAATCACTTGTGAGAATTCTGGACTGTGGCTCTGATACTGGCACAGCGCATGGCTCATTGTGATACTTGAAGTTGCTCATCCTGCAACACAGCGATGGCAGCAGTCGCTCCGCGCGTGTCCAGGTCTTTTGAGGTGCCTCAAAAACAGGTTACAATGTGCCCTTAGCACTCATAGCGCACCTTCTCCTCTTACCTTCTCCCACCATCTCGCACTCTCTCGCCCGCCCACAAGCGCCGTACCTGCAGCACGGCGATAGCAGCAATCACCCCGCGCGTGTCCAGGTTGCGATACGCCAGGCCCTCCATGTCTATGATCACGCCGCACTTGTGGAAGCCCGCCGCGCGCGAGCTGCGCGGAAGGGGTGAGGTGAGTGAGGGGGTGACGGGGGTGAGGGGGTGTGCACAAGGAGGCGGTGACGTGAAGGAGGGGGCGTGACGGGGAGCGCGGGGGACATGAGAACGGGATACAGGCACAGGCCACGCAACAGCGTGAAGCGGGAGACGAGAGAAAGTGCGAATCCAGAATCTTCAGCATAGGAGGTGAGAGGGGAAAGGGGTGCTGCGATGGTGATGCTGAGGTGGCATGGGCAAGGCGGGAGCCAAGTAGGGGGGATAAACAAGGGTGGTAACCGCAAAGGGTGATGATGTGTGCGTCTCACCTGCCGAGAGCCGCGTCCATGCCGTATACTATGAGACCTGCGCGCATACAAGGAGAGGACGAGGGCGAGGGGGAGGGGGAGGGGGAGGGGGAGGGGGAGGGGAGGGGAAGAGACAGGGAGGGATGGAAAGAGAGTGGGAGATTTGAAACACTGTGGACGAGGAAGGACGACCGAGGGAGCACACGACAGAGCGAGCGAGCGACAGGGAGGGCGACAGAGCGAGCAAGAATATAGACGGAGAGCGACGGAGATCGACGGACGGTGACGGTGAGCGACCAAGGGGACCGCAGCCGGGGACCGACGAGGGCGACGGCGGATAGCGCGCGTGTTGGGGTCGTGGAAGCGCGGAGTACACTCACGGACGAATTCGTCCATATCGCGCGTGTTAAGCCTACATGAGGCGCCTCGACTGAAACTCGGTTTGAGCTTAATCCATATTGATCACTCACTAATAGACTCAAACTCAACATCAGTTGAGGCGCGCGTTGGGGTCGTGGAAGCGCGGAGTACACTCACGGACGAATTCGTCCAGATCTCGCAAGCCATACTTGAGAGGCGCGCCACGTACAAGCGCGCGCGCGGACGCCAGCGCCTCACTATGAAACTCAAACTCATCAACCGCCTCTCTCGGCGGAACACTCACGGACGAATTCGTCCAGATAGCGCGTGTTGGGGTCGTGGAAGCGGAAACTATCCATTTCGAGGCGCCTCACAAATGAACTCAAATTCATCACGCGCCGCGCCGCACTCACGGACGAATTCGTCGAGATTGCGCGTGTTGGGGTCGTGGAAGCGCGGTCGAATGAGCAGCCACGACGCGTGGCCGGGCAGGGTCTGCAGGCACATTAAGTCGCTCGCGGCTTGCGTGCGGATGCTCTCCATCGGGACCGTCGGGGCGTCCTTCGGGATGTACGCGGCGCGCCACTTGCGGTGCGCCACGTATAAGGGCGCGGCTTTGGCGGGGGTTAGCGCGCGCGCGACGAGGAAGCGCATGACGGTGCGGTCGTCCACGTCCTGGGGGAGGGGGAGGGGGAGGGGGAGGGGGAGTGGGAGGGGGAGGGGGAGTGGGACGGGGGAGGGGGAGTGGGACGGGGAGGGGGAGTGGGACGGGGAGGGGGAGTGGGACGGGGAGGGGGAGTGGGACGGGGACGAAAAGGGAGCGGGACGGGACGGGAAGGGGGGGTGGCGGGGTGGCCTTGGATGCGCTTCAAAAGGATCGCGCGCGACAAGAATGCGCATGATGGTGCGGTCGCCCACGTCCTGGGGGAGGGTAAGGGGGAGGGGCGAGGGACGGGGGAAAAAAGGGGGAGCGCGGGGAAAGGGAGGTAGTTGGGGGGGAGTGTTCGGGGGAAGTAACAGGATGCGGCCAGGGAAAGCGAGGCAAACGGGCGACGAGCGCTGGGAGCGCTGAGAATGATGCGAGGAGCGCGCGAAGCATTGCGCGAGAGTGAAGAAAGCGCGAAAGACGGGGGATACGGAGGAATGGGGAAGCGCGAGCCGCAACGTACATCTGTCGAAATGCCGCTCTGGGAGATTAACTCGCGCGCCTCGGCGACGAGCTCCTTTTGATGGTCGGTGAGCTGGAGGTCGCCTCGCGGCACCATAAAACTATCCGCCGTTAAACATCCCCGCCCTTCCGCCGCCGTCATCACACTCTCTAGCCCCGTCTTGCCCGCCGGCGCATTCCCCGGCACTGGGTCCGACGGGAGAGGCGCGGGCCCGACGGCTGCTGTGGACATGGCTGGTGATGGGGAGGGCGACTGGAGATGACGGAGGATGACAGGAAGTGACGGAGGATGACTGGAAGCGACGGAGGAAGACAGGAAGTGACGGAGGATGAGTGGAAGTGACGGCGGATGAAACTATTGGAATGCGGGAGAGGGAGGAAAAATAGGAGTTGTCAATGCGTGGTGTAGGTGCGATCTGAACTGACGCAGGCTACTGCACGACGAGATAAAAATAAACTGTTTTGACGTTTGATGTGGAGAAGAGTGTTGAATCCTGGAAGTCGTAAAATGAGGGGAGTCATTTTCGGCACTGTTCTACAAAGTCGATGATTGCTCATAGACCCTATCCAGCCGATCTAAACTGTTTATAAAACGCTTTTACGTGCACAACATCTCACCCCACCGTTATTGATTAAGGGGTTTTGATTGGCGTGGGGAATGGTCAAGCCAGCGAAGCAAGACGGTTTCGCATGGCATGTGCTGACTGACACCACCATGTGTCAGGCAGAGCGGGGCACGGCGCGAGACTATCTGGCTCGGAACGAACCGGCTCGCTTCACTGATTGGGCATGGAAGTCAGCATGGTCACATGGTGGTCCTTTGGCTGGGGATTCAAAACTTGGTTCGGATGGGCAGAGCGAGTCCATGTCGTCAGGGCAGGTCCATCTGGGGTCAGCCACAACAACTCAGGTTACCCGCCCGACCGACCTCAGCGTGACGGGCGGGCGGACTTGACGACCCGTCTCGTGTTGTGTATGTCGTGTGACTGGTGTCGTGTCGTGTGAACCGCATCGTGTGCCTTGGTGGCGTGGCGAAGGCACGGCGAGGTTGATGGTGCAAGAGGGGCACCACACCACCAGCCAGCCAACCAGAGCATGCCCCGCCTGCCCACGCGGTCCATGCTGTTAGCCTCGGGTTAATTAGTCAGCTTCTATGGAAACTTACCCATACGTAGGTGGCCTTGTTTCTGGTTGGGATCGAGCAGTTGTCTTACTGAGTTTGTCCATGCTTAGGTAAGAACTGAAGGAGACCGTAACTCTGAAGTCGAATTGCGTCCCTGAATGTGCTTCCATTGCCTAATTCGACACCTGAAGGTTAGGGGATCAACCAACGATACGTGTAACCGGCCATGTCAGAAACAGCACACGAAGCGAGCTCAGAGATGGACTGTCAGACCACACCACATACATACATGTCGTCCATTTGGCTGGAAATGAAGTCAGGGTTACTTTTGGAAAGGCTTTATCGTTCTTCACATCGCATCCGTTCGATTTTCTCGCAAGTTCGTCCATCCTCCAACTTCTTCAAAGGCGGGACCGCGAAATTTGTCGCACTGAATGCGTAGCTGGGCGGCCGCCAAGCTGGATTTGGGGGTGTGGCGGACTCCGGGGCGACTCTGGTTTGGTGGGAATGTGTAGGTCGGTGCGTTTCGACAGTAACCTTTATTTCGTTATTGTGCATTGGTAGGAGACCCAATTGACTACATAAGTAATTTCAGTTTGCCCATGCCACTAGTTTGGCATAACGTTCTCATATGCATTTACAAACTGCCCCTGCATGCTATGATGCATCGCCGCAGCCAGAAGAGGAGGCCCAAATTGTGAACCCACATGCATGCTTCTATATGGGTCCCTGTCCCCGACCCACACCTCCTCCCCACCACGCCCCCCCAACTCCATCCCTTCACCAACCACCCCCCCTTCCCAACCCCCCATCTGCTGCCCGTGCCCCTGATACAATCCCCCATTGGACATACCCTGAGAGAAATACCGAACATTTCCCTCCATTCCAACACCCCCCCTCCCCATGCTCCTGCTGCCCAAACCTGCTTCCCCTCCCCGAAGCTGCAAGAGCATGTCATCCAACCCTAATCCCAGCCCATCCGAGCCTGCTGGTGCGGCCTCTCCCAACCCCCCTCGTTGCCAAACCTCTGCCTGGCCTAGCAAGCCCACTCCCATACCAGCACCTGCTACACTACCTGCTCCTTCCTCACCCAGGGTGAGACTAGCAGCAAATGCAGCAGCAGCAGCAGCGGCAGCAGAAGCAGCAGCAGCAGAAGAAGAAGCAACAGCAGGGGAACCACAAGCAGAAGCTAGCCTGCCACTGCCTGTCATGACTCCTCCCCCTCCTACTCCTCCCCCTCCTGCTGCTCTAGCTGCTGCTCTAACTGCTGCTGCTGCTACTGCTCCTGCCCCTTCCGATAGTGACAGCGATGGTGCTTCTACCAGCGAAGAGCAATCAGCCCCCTCCCTTTCCCCTTCCCGAATCCCCCCAGACACACTCAAATCCCTCCCTCCCCCTCCTGCTCCCCCTCCCGCTCCCACTCCTGCCCCTGCCCCTGCCTTTGCCCCAGCCCCTGCTGCTGCCCACCCCCCCCCTCTCACCGCCCTCCCCGCTACCCCTGCAACAGCAGCCCTCCCATCCCCCCCGCCCCTCCTGCCATTGCTGCTGCGGCTACCCGTAAGCAAACTCTTGGGTCGATCAGGAGGGCGCTCGGGGGACGGAGCAGGGGAAGGGGCGGGGGAGAGACTGGGGGAAGTAGCAGGGGAAGGGGAAGGAGAGGTCCAGGAGAAGAGATGCGAGAGGAACATGGAGGTGAGGGAGGAGGTGGGAGGGGAGGAGGACGGGGGAGGTGTGGAGGGGCGGGAGGGCGGCGTGGGCGGGCGGGAGGAGGAGGAGTTAGTGGAGAAGGGATGAGTGGCTGTGACGGTACTGCAGCGAGAGTAAGAGTAGGAGGTACCATCGACTGAGGCATTGTCTACAGAGCTGTTGCCGGCAGCAGAGACAGAGAGGGAGAGAGATCCGGATGCTGCTGAATTGTCGGAGGAAACGAGTGCTTGTGCGAGGGGCCGCGCGCGAGAGGAGCGCGATCGGTGGTAGGAGCGACTGGGGCTTCTGTGTTGGGAGGGCGTTGTGAGGGGAAGTGAGAGAGAGAGGGGGAAGAGGAAGGGAAATAAAGAGAGAGCGAGGAATGCAATATGGGACATGGAGCTACGCAGGGATCTTCTCAAAGCAAAGGGGTTGCGTGCGACATAGAAAGGAACGTTGTTGACGCTGATGTTGACGCTGATGCTGACGCTGATGTTGACGCTGATGATTCTGACGTTTGACAACTTTTCAGACGTTTCAAGAGACACCACTGCATATCCAACGTGAGGCACGCAACACTACCGTTCCCCCACACTCCCGTTCCCCTTACTCCTCCCCTCCCCACACACCCGACCCGACCCCCGCACACTCCCGTTTCCCCTTTCAACCCCACACACCCCACCGTCCCTCCTCCTCACACACACACACACCTCCTGTGCACATCCATTGTAGTTGAACGCGGCCCCAACTGACCGTCCCCTTGACCAACCCTCTCCTGCCCCTGCTGCCCCTGCTGCCCCTGCCGCTGCCAGCTTCCCACCCCTCCCTCCTGATCCCCCCCCATCCTCTCCCCCTCGCCAAACCCAGCCCCTTCCCTCGCGCCCCTCTCGCTCCTCCCTCCCCCCTGCGCCTCCCACTTCCCAGCACCAGAACTAGCCATCCCCCCACTACCGCCCCCTCTTCCCCCCCCACCCCCACCACCACCACCAGCACCAGCAGCCGCTGCAGCTGCTGCCATTCCCGCCACTTGTCTTGCGAGCATCACTACCCTCCCCTCTGCCTGCCTTGCTGCCGCCTCTGCTGCAACCCGCTTCTCCTCTGCTGCAGCCAGCCGCTGCTGCACCGCCTGCTGCTCCTCCCGCAGCACCTGCACGCACCGCTCTCGGCCCCTCTCCACCTCCCCGGCCTGCTCCCGCCACTCCTCGCGCTCCCTCTCTGCTCTCGCTAGCCGTTCCTCCTGTTTGCTCACAACGGCCTGTTGGTCCATCAGCTTTTGCTGAAGCTCGTACACGCGCTGCTGCAGAGCCTGCTTCTCCCGCCGCACCCCCCTTAAAGCCAGCAGTACATCCTCCCCCCCAGCATCCGCCCCACACGCGCAACACTCGCGGCTATCCGCCCCCTTACTGCTGCTGCCTTGATTGCCTGGAAAAGCAGCAGCCGGAAGCGGGGGTTCTGTAAGAGAGACCGGGAAGGCTGAGGATTTCACAGGGGGTTGGGGGAGGCACGCGGAGGAAGAGGAGGAGGAGGAGGAGGAAGAGGAGGGAAGAGTGGAGGAGGGGAGAGCGGGGAGGCGGCTTCCGAGGCTGCTCCAGCGGACCAAAGGAGGGGTGGATGTGGGGAGATGCTGCTTGCGATGGGATTGAGAGGAGTGCATGGAACGAGAGCCTGCGTTGCAGGAGTGAGAGGAGGTAGAGGAGGAGGAGGAGGAGGAGAAGGAGGAAGAGGGGAAGGAGCAGGAGGAGGAGGTGGTGGTGGAGGACGGGGGCGCGGGGGGAACGGCGCGCGTCTGGCGGAGGTCGGATTTGAGCTGCGAGCACTGCGCGCGGAGAAGGCGGAGCTCTTTCTCCGCCTCCCCCGCCGCGACTTCCAGGTGCGCACGGTCCTCCTCCGCCTGCGCCACTGCCGCCACTGCGCGCTCCGCCTGCTCCAGCGCGCGCATGAGGTCGCCTGGGGGTGGGGAGGGGTGAGGTGCGCGGAAAGGGAAAGAGGAAGGGGGAAGCGGAAGGGGAGGGCGAGAGAGGAGGTAGGGACGGAAGAGGAGAAGGGTTGCGGTGGGGCAGGAGGGGGGGGGGAGGGAGAGGAGCCGGGAAACGGCGGATAAGTCGTAAGCCGGATGGAGTACGAGGATAGAGACGAAGAAGAGGATTGCTTGCGCGGAATTCTATTCTTGCAAGAAGGCGCGGAATTCGAAATTAAAAAGGGCTGTGGAACTTCTGTGTGCCGTACGTAAACCACGTGGCCGCCGCGCGCGCAAAGCTCGCCGTCACGGCGGCACGGCACTCCCGCACTGAAGCACTCACTCACCCGCCAGTCTTCCCCTCTCCGCGCTCATCGCCTCCGCCAACTCCTCCGCGCGCTGCACTTTCCGCCGCCACCGCCGCGCCTCCTTCTCCGCCTCCTCCCACCGCCGCTCCCACACCTCCTTCTCGCGCTCCGCCGCCTCGCGCCGCTCCTTCTCCTCCCCCAACCGCCGCCGCATCAGCCGCACGACCGCATACATGCCCTCCTCTTCCCCCGACTCTCCGCACCCCCCGCCGACTCCTCTCCCCGCTCTCTCCGCTGTTCCCCCCCCACTCGAAATGTCCCTCCCCGCACCGGCAGACTCGTCCCTCAATGCCGCATCACCCCTTCCGCCATTCTCCGCCCGCTCAAACTTCTCCGCCGTTCTCTCCGCCCGCTCCGCCCTCTCCGCCCGCTCGCCTGTCTGTCGTATGTGAGCCTCGGTCGGACCTGCCTTCCCCGTCCTGTCGTCCTCCCCGCCCTCCTCCCCCGCCATTCTGCTGCTCCTTCTCCTTCCGCTTCCGCCGCTGCTTCCATACCCGCGCACCTCTTGCCGAGGCCTCCTTTCCGCCCCGCCCGCCCCGTCGCCCGCGCGACGTCGCGCAGCGTCGCCTGCGACGCGAGGCTGGTCGCCCGATACTTTCGCGCGTTCTTGGTCGGCAGAATTAGTTACAATCTCTGTGACGGTACTGGAGTAGTCATTAACGGGAATCTGAATGGTTAAGTTCGGCAAGCGGCGCCGGGACGTAATGACGCTCGAGCTCGACCTTTCAGCCTCTGACGCCGCATCTGACGCCGCCTCTAGCGACGTATTACTCCATCCAGATTTACTCGACGTTCGTCTGCTTCTTCCTTTTGACCCGCCATTAAAACTCGATCCATTTCTGGCGTCGTGAAGGCCGCGCGCCTTGCGGCCTACACTGTTCATTTCTTCGTTAGTGTCACTCGAGCCGCCTCTCTCACTGGAGCCTGATGCGGCGCCGCCAACGCTTCGCCGCCATAGCTCTGTGATCGATGAACTTTCCGGATCGTGTTCAGTCTCGCCCAGAATCCACTCATTCGCTCCCCCCATCCGTCGGTTAGCGCCATTAAACTCGTTTTCCGCATGCCGGCGTGCCGCCGCGTGTCTTGCCAAGGGAATGGTGCAGCTAAGGTGAGACATAGTGAAAGCAGGAGCCTAAGCTAACCTAGCACTGCTCCTCGTGACTAGTGAAGTATAATTCAGGTGCCATCTTAAGTTATGATTTAGGGCGCGTCCCCTCCCTCGATCGATCCTGCCCTCGATCGATCGAGGGACAGCTACAATGTCGCAATTGACAGGGTAACCAGATTTCGAGAAGGCTTTCGAATCTACAGTAACTTGTGCCCAACGATCTTGTCTCCTCCGCTGTGACGATCGATGTGCCCTCGTGGCCACACCGATCTCGGCTTTAGAAGGATCGAGGGTTTTTTGCCCCTTGTATTCTCGATCCTGTCACCCAGGGATCGAGATCGATCCGCTGTTGTCACCTCCTACCAATCCCACCCCAATCCTGCGATCGGTGTGCCCGATCGGTTTTTCACAGCGATCGCGCGATCGATCGAGGGAGGGGACGCGCCCTCAGTGAGTCACAAGACAAAGCAATCACAACGGCAAGAACGAACTGAGGTACACCGGGGATGCGCGGGCGTGGAATGCGGCACAATCGAGGTGGTTGGCGGTGGTGATTCTTGGTTTTGTGGTGGTGTGAGTTGTGAGTTCGCGGGTTTGCGAGTGTGAGTGAGTGAGAAGTTCGTTTGTGTGGTTGTGTGTGAATTGGGACGGGGAGGTTGGTGACTGTGACGGACGAATTTGTCCGTTTGCGTGGCTGACGGAAGCGCCCGCTTTAGTGCCGCTCTTTTCTCGATTCTCCTGACCCCGATCGAACGTCCCCCCCTCCTCTCCCCCGTACCTGGAAAAGGCTACAGTGTTACTGTACAGTAGGCGGACAACCAACTACCGACAGCAATCAGGAGGACGACGGTGATTCAGAACGGAAAAGTTGCGGACTTGAAGCAACAGAGAGTTATGAGAGTGGCGCGCGGAACGGGACTTCAAGGAAAACGGGATGGGTTGGGTTGGGTCTGGGGATGGCGGAAAGCTGCGACAGAGGCACGCGGCGTAAAAAATTGGGCACTCTTTCGGCGAAGTAGAAGCATTAGCAGGAATGCTTGATATATTATGAGTGTTGTTCAGGAGGATTTCGGGTTTAAGGTTTCAGGTTGGCGTCAATTCCAAATTAGCGTTTGATGAGCTGTTCCTACGGTCTGGAAGAGAACGGAGAGACAAACTGGAAATACACTATGATTCGGATCATCCGCTCTAGCAATTGTGCACCCGTGCGAGGCAAAAGGGGCTGGGGTCGATTGTGGAAGAGTGGTGCAACGGAAGAGTGGTGCAACGGAAGGAAGGGAAGCATGGGACTGTGTCCAGCCTGGTTTGGCGGTTGAAAGCGTTGTCGGGGGATTCCGGTCTTCCCTACCTGTCGATTCCTTGTGGAGGATTCCGTGTGTCAATTCATCTCGCACCATGTGACGCTTACTCGACTGATGCACAGTGCACATGGATATCGTTGTCTTCGGGCAGCGTGGAAACGTTTAGAAGTGTTCCTATGATATCTTCGTTATTAGCTAAATCACGCATAATTTACAAGGCTGACTATATAAAGAATGTTTCTCCACCCTACCTAGCCTGTCTTCCTAACTCGGATACTGGCGTGTCTTTTTGGTGCAGACGTTCGGAAAAAGGTCGACCTTATACTGGTAACCATCTTCGTTAATTTCGCTCAACACTGTTTTCGAGGTTCGTGTGTCCATGCAAAATGTTCGAGAAAACAGAAGGACACTGAACTGGGGTCAACCTCGCTTTCGATTTTTTTCCAATCGTGTGTTCCTCTGCTCATGTGCTTATTGTGAAAAAATAAGGAAAACATGAGAAGCGAAAAGGAAAAATGTTTGGGATAGTCGACTACAGGTCGACCAAGGTTCAGATGCATAAAGTCGAAGAAAATCATGAACTTTACCACACTCCAAAAGACACACGCCCTAAAAGACTGCTCGTATGATTTCACGTTCTGCACCAGAACCGCGCTGCTTGCAAAAGCTTCCTTCACTACAGCGAGTGGCTAGGAAGATATTATTTCCGTCGCTTTTGACAAACCGATGAAGCACCACCCACGTTCCCAATGAAGCACCATCCCCACTGGCTGACGTGTATCCAATAACCCGGCACCAACTCAGGCCACTCCCAACCGCAATCGTTAGTGGATTGGACAGCGCTCCTTGTCACACCTGTCACATCAACACAGATTACTAGGCGAGCTTGTACGAATTACCAAAAGGCATGGTTACCTATTCGATCGTGTCGTGCTGGCCCATCACTTTCTTTCCCAACCACCCTTCCAAGTCTTGCTTTCCCACGTCAACCCTTCTTCCTCTTCTTCCTCAACATTATCCATTCCTTACCTTCTGAGCCCCAACTTGCCTCACCTCTGTCGTCCTATCTTCGTGAACATCCATTCTCAATTCGTCCCACTCACCTCGAATTGGTTCCTTTCCCCAGTCTCCTCTTTTATCCTTGCGTGAGACGACTGGGGTTTGGCCTTTCCAGATAACAAAGTATGTCGCTTGCGTTCGAGCTCTGCACAGCCAAACACCTTACCAGATCCCCTCACGCACTCACCAGATGATCTAGCAGCCGTTTCCGGTGCGCGCTCGACTCGCTCCTTACTCGCGCCGCACACCCCTTCCTCCCCGCCGTTCTCTCTGCCATGGCGCGTGATCCCACAGACCTCCTCCCAGGTCTTCCCGACGACGTCGCGTCGCTCTGCCTCGCGCGCCTCCCCTTCTTCTCCCACCTCCCCGCTTCCGCCGTCTGCCGGAGCTGGCGCGCCTTCTTCTCCTCCCCGCTCCCCTGGTCCTTACGCGCGGCGCACGCGATTCGCCATGGCGATCTTTTACTCCTCTGCACGGGCCTCTGGAGCAGCAGCGCGGGGGAACCCGCGCTTGTCTTCCACGTGTGGGATCCGCAGCTCGACGCGTGGATGCGCCTGCCGCCGCTTTTCGCGGGCCGCGCGTACGCGCCGCATGCCTTCGAGGGCTTCTGCTGTACGGCCGTCGGCGCGTCGGTAGCAGCAGCGCCGATCGCGGCTGGGATGAAGGGTCTGGCGGCCGGAGGATCATCAGCGGCGGTAGGAGCAGCAGGAACGCCGATTGCGGTGGTAACAGCAGCGCGAGCAGCACCAAGAGCATCGGCGCGGGGAGGGGCTGCGGGTGCGCGAACCGCGCCGCAACCGGCGCGACCATCTTTGTTCGTGCTCGGCGGAGAGTACCGCTTCTCCCCGCGCTTGGGCGGCACTTCCTCTCTAGCGGAGCGCATGCCGCACGTGTGGTGCTTGGACCTGGGCTCGGGTCGCTGGCAGCAGCTCGCTGACATGTCGCGCTGCCGCGTTAATCTTAACGCCGCCGTAGTCCTCCCCGCACCCGCCGCTGCCGCCTCATCCCTCGGTACCAGCGGAAGAAGCGCCAACACTGATAGCGCTTCCGGCGGCGGCGGCGGCGGTGGAGGCGGTTGCCGACTACTGGCGCTAGGCGGCTCGTCGGATCCCGTGGGCAGCTACGCAACGACGCCACGTGGCGATGGTCGATTGGAGGGGCTGAGGGGGAGCGAGGATAGGTGGATGAGCGGCGGAGACGCGGAGTTGGATGGAGAGGGGCGCATGTGGGTGGGCGAGGCGCTCAGTCTGGATAATGTCCTCTCGTGCGACGTGGCGGGAAGCGCTGTAGAAACGACAGGTCGTGCTTCTGCCGGAGATTGCGCCGGGATTGCCGCCGGGATTGGCGTTGGGGCTGCTGCCATGGCTTGTGGCAGTTTCTTAGGGGAGTTTGACCAGGCTGGTCATAGTGGGGAGTGGAACGGCTATGGGCTACACGCTGCCGCCGCCGCGACTGCTCCCGATGGCGGTAGAAACAGCAGCAGCGGCGGCGCCGGTGGCAGTAGCAGCAGTAGCGACAGTAGCACCCGCAGCACGGCCGGGAACGCCCCGGCCGCGCCTGTGCACGCCACGTGGCGGCGATTCGCGCGAATGCCGGCGGGCTTCGACCCGTCGTCGCGCGTGTCTGCAACGGCCGTGCTCGGCGGGCACCTCTTCGTCTTCTCCCGCTCGTCGCACGACGACGCGGGGCGAATTGAACGGCTAGATCTGTACGATCTCGCGACGGACGAATGGATGCAAGTAGGGCTAATCCGAGGGCCCACGGAGGGGTGGTGCCGCGGCGCAGTAGCAGCGGTTGACGGCGTGGGGTTGCTGTGCGTGAGCGCGGAGAGGCGGAGGCTGGGACTGGGAGAGGTAGATGTGGCCTGGCTGGACGTAGACTCGCGGGAGTGGGTGGTGGTGGCGCAGGTGCCTGTAGCCCGGGAATTGGGGTGGGCTGGAGCAGTGTCCGCGTGCCACGTGGCGGCTGCTGGGCGGAGGGTTTTTGTGGTGACGGAAGGGGCGCTGGTGCAGCGGGTAGGGTTCTGTATGAAAAAGGTTAAGCCGGTGAATGGGATGCATGTGCTGAAAATCTCCTGGGGCGGATCTGGGAGGTGTGGTGGGATGGGGGTAAGCAGGCGGGAGTGGGAGGAGGCGGATGGGGAGTGTAAGGTGGAAGGGTGGGGTGTAGGTCTGGGTAGTGCTGGCTGTGGCGGCAGCGGTGGCGGTGGTGGTGGTGGTGGGGGGTGCGGGGGCATGGGTGGAGGTGTGCGGGATAAGGACTGGAAATTGACCTGGGAGGTTAGTAACATGGAACTGGCATCTGCTGTGGTGGGCTGTGCGGCCCTGCACATCTAGTCTAGTCGGATGGCGAATATGGGGTAGCTGACA